TTTTTTTTGTGTGTGTGTCTCTCAAATAAGGCCACATCTACAGGCCTAGATGAACATACACTTAAGAGGGCAACATTCAACCCAATACACATTGATATGGATAGTTTAGAGTGAAACCTGGAAGATTCTAACACTAAATAGATATTACTAAAGTGAAACCTGAAGCAAAAAGGGAAGGAGTTATCAGAGGGCAGTGAGAATTAGGATAATAGAGGAGAGGGTTTGTAGTCTTAAAGAACCATGGACAGCGACTTAAGCGCTACATAAGGAAAATGCAAAGAGAATACTAAGATTACTCTGCTTCCGCCATCTCAGCTGCTGCTGGGTTCTCGTATTGGCTAAATCCAATGAGACTACAGAACAGGTTAGTAAGGATATCTGAAAGGAGGTAAGGTTAAAGAAATTATATCACAGAGCAAGATTCTAATCCTTGGTTATATAACACACCCGGTTAACCAACATTGTATTGCTCAGGCAATCTCTTAACTCACAAGTTCACAGTGAGAGGAAAGAGAGATGTTCAATTTAGATTGTTACAATCGAAATAATTTGTGCTTTGATTACAAAGAAGAACTTTACTTCACTCTATGAAACTAAAGTCCCTTAACATAATGTGAAGTTGCTATTATGATATTCCTCTTCATTATTTAGAAACATAGGCATAAAATTAGAATTTTTCTGTGTGTCTACATGTAGAAAAGAGAGATCACTTTTCCATTTCCTTCTGATTGATTTGTTTTGGGTTGCAAATGAGTGATAATAGCTGTTCCATAGAATAAGACCACAACTATCAGGTGAGAAGAACAGGTGTAGAAGGCTTTTGCCTTCCCGCTGGCTGATGATATTTTGAGAATGTTGGCAATAATTTTGCCATAGGAAACAATGGTCAACAGATATGGAACCATAATAAATACCATTGTAACTACATAAACTGTGATCTCATTCAGAAATGTGTCCCCACAAGCAAGCTTGAGAATTGGGGGGAAGTCACAGAATAAATGATAAATTATGTAAGAACCACAGAAGAGCAGAGAACAAATCTGACATGTTTGTCCAATTATGGCTGGAACTGCAACAACCCAGGCAGCAATGGCCAACTGGACATAGACTTTGTGATTCATAACCAGTGGGTAGGGCAGAGGGTTACAAATAGCCACATAGAGGTCATAGGCCATTGCTGTCAGGAAGAGACACTCTGAGCCTCCAAACATAAGGACAAAGCACATTTGTGCAGCACAAGCAACCAAAGAAATGTTTCCTTTCTGGGTCAAAAGATTCATGAGCATTCTTGGAATAGTAACTGTTACATAACAGATTTCTAAAAGGGAAAAATTGTTAAGAAAGATATACATGGGGGTCTGGAGTACAGGGTCAATTCTTGTTATCAAAATTATGAATATGTTTTTTATGGTTTGAGATAATGATAGCAGAGTAAATGTGAAGTGTGCATTCTTATTTAGAGCTTATTGTGCAGAAGTCATTTCTACTTATTTCACCCCCATAAAGAGTAGAATTATAGTACAGGCTTTTGCTATTGCATTTGTCTGGATTCAACAGTTTCTTTCTGAAATGATTGATCTATTTTACCTTCTTTCATTTTAAAGCATTTCATTTAAGGCTTTTGTTTAATATTTATTTGAAATGGGATTTAAGTCCTTCCATTTACAGTCTAATGAGAATCAGTTTTCTTAGACCAATCCTTTGTTACTGAGGGAATAAATGTATACAACATATATGTATTCCTACTTCATGTACCTCTCTCATTTATGTTAAATATGAAAACCATTAACCCAGCATACTGTTCAATAACTTTCCCTATGAACACCCCTGTACAGTGTATCATAAATATCAAGTAACTTTTAACTCAATCAATACATATGACCCATTCATCCCAATTTTTTAAAAATTTCCCTTAAGGTTCTAGTGTCATGTAGTTCCATTGAACTAAATACAATTCCTTTTCTCTATTTTCTCTTTGTAATTTTGCCTAATAAAATGTAACTTTGATTAAATACAATTATTATTTAGTCTGGGTATACAAATGGCTGGAGCCTATGAATGAAACTTACACACACACACACACACACACACACACACATCCACAGTGGTGTAACAAAGAGAAAGAAATTTGTCCATTACTGGGGAATGACTGGACTTTGGTCTCAAATATGCAATGTCACCAGACAAAGAATGAAGCCACAACCATGAGATGGGAAGAACAAGTGGAGAACACCTGGCTCACGCAATTGCTGATGACAGCTTCAGGATGGTCAAGATTATTTTCACATATGATCCAAGAATTAACATAAAAAGAATTGTAACAACTAAAACAGTAACCACATCAATCTACTTCTCCATCATAAAGGAGTCCCCACAGGCAAGCTTAAGTACTGGAGGTACAACAAAGAAAAAGTGATTCAACTGGTGAGATCTACAGAAGGGTATAGAGAAGATCTGGTAGGTGAATCCTACATGTACTGAAATTCCAGTCATCCAACAGCCAGCTGCCAATTGAACACACAGCCTGTTGTTCATGATGAGAGGGTAGAGTAATGGGTTGCAAATGGCCACATACCTGTCATAAGCCATAACGGTTTAGAATAAAGCAGTCTGTGGTTCCCAAGACCAGAAAGAAATACATTTGAGTTGCACAGGCCAGAAAGGAAATTTTTCTGTTTTGTGTGCAAAGATCTATTAACAATTTGGGAACAGTGACTGACACATAACATCTTTCCGAGGAAGAAAAGTTCCCAAGGAAAAAATACATGGGGGTCTGAAGGAAAAGATCCACCTTAGTTGTTATAATTATGAGGCTATTTCCCATCAGAATAATCACATAGATTATCAGAAACACCCCAAAAGGAAATCCTTGGAGTCGGAAACATCGGAAAATACAAGCAGGATGAAACTCATCGATACAGTGAAGTTTCCTTGAGGGGAATTCTTGTCCTGTGGATTCCATATAGGAACAAAATGACTCCAAGCTTAGAGGTCACTTCAGTCCACTGGGCCCAGTTGCAGAGAAGGACACATTAAATAAATGGTTTCTAATCTGGTGACCCCGGATAGATAACCGGTGTGTTCTGTTTGTTGGTTTTACATTTTGGGAATATATTTCAAATCCCAAAACCTAAAATTGAAATATGTAGAAACAGAAGAAAATCGTTAACTCTCTTCTTCCTGTTCACATTAACAATATGAACAAACAAATAACACATCCAAACTGAGAGCAATAAAATAAGAGGAAAGCATGCTGGGTGGCCTGGTCTAGGGTCAGAACTGCTCTAGGGATCTTGTGACATTCTCTAATGAGAAATGAACCTCCTTCATGATCATTCTGGTGCTTATTTGCTTTCTCTTTGTATTTTTTTTGCCTAGCCCCTTCTCGTTCACAGTCCATTTAGGTGACGTTTTCATGTTTGGTTTTATGTTTCCCTGTGAACTTCATCTCAGGTAAGTGAAGGGCAAAATCATCAGTCAGGTCAACCCTGGCCAACTTACTTCCTGCAGGCCCAGGTCAGGCCCAGGTCAGGCCAACCCTGGCCAACTTACTTCCTGAGAAAGACTTAACAAAAATCAGAAAGGTAAGGACTATAGCCTTGCTCCATCATAAAACACTTTTCATTTAATATAGTATAGAAATTTATATTAGTAACCACATAACATGACAAGTCATATGTTCACTTGAATTTTAGAATATGAAAAAATATATAAGATTCCATTTTACTATGTCCTCATCCCTCATGGTGCCCAACAATCTTGACAGTTCTCCTTATATGCTGTATTTTTGGCATACTTTAGGAGAAATTAGGCATTTATGGGGTAATTACATGCAGAAAAGGGAAAATAAAATGTGTAAGAGAATTTGATCATAAAGTTCACACCTGAAACCTGAGGAAATATAAAACCAACCTTTGTATACTTTTGACTACATAAATATGTACATATATAAGAATATGTAATTAATATATAAAATACTATGAATATAATATATTAAGTCTAATGCACATTTAAAATATCTATATTTGAATAACCATTAAAAAACAGGGTGCTAAAAGCAGTGTAGATTTAGCCTAACCAACTCCTTAAAAAATTAAGCATTTTAGATCAAGTAAGTTCAGTCTCTCACTCACTGTGCTGGGTCCTAGACTTCACTTTTGTGATTTCTGACTAGCCTTTGTTAACACTAAACAGTGAACTTTGTCACAGATTGGCGTACTCCAAAATTGACACTGTCCTGAATTTTGAAGTTACTCCCCCATTCCTAACTCCAAATTCATCTCAATTCCTACAGAATGCAACCTCCCTTTCTCCTGTCAAGACCCCAGTTCCTCTTCCCTCTCACCAATTCCAAAAGACTGAAACAATTTGCAATTTCCACTTTTCATTTACTTCTCCTATACTTCTCCCTTCTTAGTTCAATGAATCCTCTATTCTGACATTCGCGTTAATTTTTCACAGCATATCTTAAAGATAAAATTTCCCTCTTAGCTCACCTCTTCTGTGACTCAAAAATGTCAGGTAGAGGGATCAAGGACCTGGGACATTTTGGATTCAAATAATACGTTGTATAACCTGAGACTGAGGGCACTTCCCGAATCTTCTCCTTCCATTTCTATTTTGGTTTTTCTGGCCTTTCAATCTCTTTCTTCTCCTCTTTGCACATTTAGTTTGTTGTTTTCTTGTTTTATGTCTTCTAAAACCACTCAAAATTTCCTACCACCTCAGAAGTTATCCCTTGTGAAAAACAACTGCAACAAAAAGGTAACTGAATTTTCAGTGTTTCAGATCTATTTGATGAATGGATAAGGAAATCGATCGATATATATTTTGTAGTATAGATTATAGTTTATTATGGATAAATATTATGTATGTGTTATATAGAAAATATGGTAAATGCTAAGATGTTGACTGTAAGCGCTATGAGCTCAGTTTCTGTCTTTACAGGCTCATGGTGAAGTCAGATAAGTCATGTATCACCCTAGAGTGTGTGGAATTGACGTAGAGAGATTTACAGGTGTTATGGAAGCACCAGAGAATCTCTTAAGGAAGCAACATCTACTATGAGATTTCGTCAGATCTTAGAGTCAGATTTCAGAATTATTTTGTTATTGTTATGCTTTAGTAAACAAAATAAAACGTTTTCCAGGATAAAAAAATAATGCCCTCATATCTTTATTTAGTTTTGTATTCCAATAGCTACTTGAGTGCTTAAACAAGTGAGTATTTTATAAATATTTCCATCAGGAAAAATTTAAGTTGATTTCACTTCTCACTGACCCAAGAACATGACATTGAGCAACTTCAAATGGAAATTAGTTCTAGTGTGGTAATGTGTCCTTATTTAAACCATCAGAGTTTAATTTTTCCTTGTTTGAAAATAATGCATTAATAATATTGACCTCAGAGAATTGTTTTGAGAAGTAAGTTAAATGCTTGTTGTAAAATAGAGTTGCAGTTCTATTAGGCATTGTTATTAGGATCATTATCATACTTATTGTCATGCTTATTGTTTTTATCATTACTGTTTTAACAAATCTTTTCTTTTCTTTTTGAGCTTTGCTCATCTTTTATCCTGCCCTAGAAGTAGCCTTTTCTGTCTAGGAGAGAAGACAATGTCCATGAAAGTGTTTTGTCAGGAATACTGAGCTTAAAATTAGTAGACTATTTTGTGCTGTGTAGATATAAACCTGCAACAATATCTGGGGAAAAGAACTCTAACTTACTGGGCTTTTATTTTTAGTTTTTTTTCTCTCATGTATTCCAGTCTCCTGTACTTTGAGGACACACACACAAAAAAATAGGCTTTGTTATAGAGATATAAACAAAACAAAATAGAAAAAATTAATGTAAACCTTATGTGATATACAAAAGCTTCCCAGAGATAAGCACATTTGATATTTTTTTTTCCTGAAATCGATCTACACTCTCCATTAACTGTTAATGGTATTTTTCGTTTGTAGTATGGAAACTTCAGTTCCTTTACTATCTTTTCCGTTTATGATAAACTAGCATAATAGTTTATGCTAGTATAGTGACTTGATTAATTAAAACTGTTTTTTATTTTTGACAATTTTTGAACATTTATTATATATTAACCACCATGTTAATGCCTTTACCTGCATTGTTGCTTTCATTACATTCTAAATGAAGTAGGTACTATTATTATTTCAATTTTGCATAGAGCTGGAGGAAGAGAGAAACTAAATAACTTGTCCAACATCAAGAAGATTGTGTAACATACTGACTTCAACCATGGCAGTGCAATGTCAACGTCCATATTCTTCATCAGAATTCAATGAGCTTCATGAAACATTCAATAGTAAATCTTATTTTTAATTTAATATTCTAATAGCATCAATAAATTAAGAAATATAAAAACACAACATCGATGTGTTTTCTGTCCATTTTATACTCTTTCACTGTTAAAAAAATGAAAGACTGATTACCTATGGATAAAGTCTGTATGTTTTAAGTTCAGAAAATTTACCTCTTTAATTAATCTGATTGGAAAAAAAGAGTTTTCTTTGATGACAATTCTTATGTTGAAAAATAACACACTATTGTAAAATAAGTGTCAGAAAATCATTACTGCTTACGTATTTACATTGTGGAGAAACCAATGAGTCTTGCTTCTTTAATAAAGACAATGGTCTATCTAATAGAAACCTTTAATTTAACGTATTCAGGTATCCAATTCTGCCATTTCTATTTTTCCTGCAGCTCATATTTCACTTTAAATTCAGTGTACCTTTGGTAAAAATATCCCTGTATTCATTGAAACAGCATCTTTTCTCCATGATGTGTTGCATCTTTAACTCAATCCATTTATCAAGTGGTAATTGAGAAACAAACCAAGGCTGTGTCTGGTTGGATTAACACTGCATTGAAGATGGTCTCTGTGAAACACAGTCTGAGGCGCGCTAGTCTCCTGGCTACTCCTGTCCACCTTTCTCTCCACTGTCTCCTCATTTGGAGAGCAGAGGTAATTCCCCTTTGGGAAAGGCTGTACTAAGACATACACAGTCTTTGAGTTGGTCTGTAGTTACACATGAAATCTGTGGATACCAAATTTGAAATTGTTAAACACCATTTATTTACCTCAAAAATGTAACCTGGGAATTATCTAGAGTTCATGCCTCATCTATATTGTTTATGTGTTATGATTGTCTGTTCCTCCCATGATCATTTTTTTTTTTTAGTTACAGATATTTACAAAAGAAAAAAATGTGTCTGGACAGGAGACATAGTATATCAAGTCTCAAGGTTTCTCTAACAGAAAGTGAGGGTGGGAAAATGACATTAAGAAGGCTTGAACATGAGTGGAGAGAAAAGATAATGACTTCTAATTTTTGTCTATAAAGTTTTGGTAAGATATATAAAATAATTATTGTATGATTTCAATTCATTTTTAATTAAATTTATTAGGGTGATATTGTATAAAAAATTATGTAGATTTCAAGTGTGCAGTTCTATAATACATCATCTGTATATTGCATTTTGTGTTTGTCACCCAAAGTCAAATCTCCCGTCACCATATATTTGATGCCCTTTACCCTTTTTTACCTTCTCCCTACCTTTTTTCCTCTGCTAACCACTAAACTGTTGTCTGTGTCTATGAGGTTTTGTTGCTTTGTCACATTTGTTGGTTATTTTCAGTTTTATATCCCACGTATGAGTGAAATCATCAGATTCTCGACTTTTTCCATCTGACTGATTTTGCTGAGCTTGATATTCTCAAGATCCATCCATGTCATCAAAAATGGCAGAATTTCACCTTTTATGGGTGAATGATATCCCATTGTATATATGTACCACATTTTCTTTTTGCCTTCTTGATTTGAGTTTTTTCAAAATTAATCATTTCTTTAACCCTATGAAACTAAGGTCCCTAAGAATAAAGTGAGGTTACCATGATGACATTCATCATCATTATTTAGAAACATAGACATAAAATTAAACGTTTTTTTTTTTCTGTTGTAGCTACATGATCAACAGATAAGAATGTCCTTTATTGTAATTTCAAGTCTTTGTGTCATCGTAGTAAGTGACTTAGTTGTTTTCTGAGTGATACCATGATGTCTTTGTTCCTCAGAGTGTATATAATGGGATTCAATGTTGGGATCAAAATGGTGTAGAAGAGAGAGATCACTTTCCCAGTTCCTTCAGATTGATTTGTTTTGGGTTGCAAATAGGTGATAATAGCTGTTCCATAGAATAAGACCACAACTGTCAGGTGAGAAGAACAGGTGGAGAAGGCTTTTGCCTTCCCGCTGGCTGATGATATTTTGAGAATGTTGGCAATAATTTTTCCATAGGAGATAACGATCAATAGAAATGGAACCATGACAAACACCAGTGAAGCTAGATAGATTGCAATCTCATTCAGAAATGTGTCCCCACAAGCAAGCTTGAGAATTGGGGGGATGTCACAGAAGAAATGATTAATCCTGTTAGACCCACAAAAGGGTAGAGAAAAAATCTGACATGTTTGCCCGGTTACAACTGGAACTGCACTGACCCAGGAGGCAATGGCCAGCTGGACACACACCTTGTGGTTCATGACCAGTGGATAGAGCAGTGGGTTACAAATAGCCACATAGCGGTCATAGGCCATTGCTGTCAGGAGGAGACACTCTGAGCTTCCAAACAGAAGGAAAAAACACATTTGTGCAGCACAAGCAACCAAAGAAATGTTTCCTTTCTGGGTCAAAAGATCCATGAGCATCAGAAAACCCCAACAGAACAAACTCCGTTATTGTAGTCATATTTGATTTTTCTGATTTTAATTGTTTCTCCATCTGCAAATATGGTAATTTCAAGTTGGTTATTCATTTATGTTCTTGAACCTCATTTCCCCCTTCTGTGAATTGGATTATTTGCATGAATGTATTTCTGCAGTTTCTAAACTCATATGCACTATCACCATGCTCTGTTTCTAGAAAAGGAATTTTGAAAGGAGATGATGAGCATTTGAAACGAATCCAAGAAACAAAAGCTAGCATATGTTTTTTATACTTGTAGATAATGATATCAGAGCAAATGAGAAGTGTGCATTCTTATTTACAGCTTATTGTGCAGAAGTATTTTCTAATTATTTCACCACCATAAAGAATGGAATTATGGTACAGGGTTTTGCTACCGTATTTGTCTGGATTCATTAGTTTTCTTCTTCTTTTTTTTTTTTTTCTGAATTGATTGATTTATTCCTCCTTTTTCAATTTAAAGTGTTTCTTTTAAAGCTTTTGTTTAATTCTTATGTAAAATAAGTTTTAAGTCCTTCCATTAATAGTCTAATGAGAATCAATTTTCTTAGACTAATCCTTTGTTACTAAGGGAATAAATATAAGCAATATTATTATGTTACTTTATGAACCCCTCTCTTTATTTATATTAAATATGGAAATCACTAATCCTAGCATACTGTTCAATAACTTTCCCTATAAACATCCCCATACAGTGTATGATAAATATCAATAAATATCAATTAACCTTTAACTCACTTAATAAATATGACCCATTCATCTCAATATTTTTTTGTTTCCCTCCCTTCCTCGGTAAGATTCTAGTTTCATATAATTCCATTGAACAAAATAAATTCCCTTTCTCTATTTTCCCCTTGTAATGTCACCTAATAAAGTGTAACTTTGATTATATACAATTAATATTTACTCTGGGTATACAAATGGCTGGAGCCTATGAATCAAACTTAAACACACACGCACACACACACACACACACACACAATCTTGTTTCACTTCATATTAATTCCATTCAATATCAGGCAGTCAACATTGTTGGACTATTTCAACTACAGTTTATTAATATTAGTTCTCTAACTATCCAAAACAATTATATGACAAAGATTATGTTTTCTATCTCATCACTCTGTTACACCCGTCTTCACCTGTTAGTCCCAACACCTGATACTTTTTCATTGATACTTTGATAAATCAACTCAGACAAATAGTCTCTTGTATTTATTTAGTTTTACTAGTACTGGTTCTCAAAATTACCTTAAATGAATAATAGTGATTATTAATGTCTTCACTATCAACATTTGCCCTACATCTAATTTTTATTACTTTATAATTAAGAAAGTAAGGAACTACATGAGTTACCTTAAGGAGTTAACTCATTTTCAAAGAAACATTTTAGAATTTCATGCCTTTCTGTTTTATTTTTTGCATTTGATCCCACGATTAAGAACTATCTTTAAATAAAATAATCTAACAAAACAATTACAGCTTACCTTCACAAATTTGCGTGAAGATATCTATGTGAGTGGAGGTGATTTTTAACCTGTAAATCTGTCACATACTTCTGTCATGTTGAGTAGCCCCTGTAATTCTATGACAGTCATCCTGGCATCAAACATTGGCTGCTCTTAAATCAAAGGCAGCCACGCTCACCTGGGGGAAGTTTTCTCTAGTGTGTTAATTAAATTTCCAAACGCAGCTTTTTTTGGCAATCATCAGCGTTTATTTTTTAAAAACACTTGCCTTGTAAGTGGCTGCCCTTCTCTTCACCCCTTCTTGATATGAAGCTCTCCTCAACTGGGGAGTCCCTTGATGTAGAAACACCACCTAATTGTCAAGTAGTACTTTCAG